CCTTTTCCATTTGACACAACATTCAATATTAATGTTTCGGTATCAATATAAATACGAAACAATATCCATATTCCCAAATTCTGAATTTCTAATAATTAATCACCTCTAAGTTAACCAAATGATACCCTTCATTCATGAATTCATATCCAAGTATATCATTTCATATCCAAGCACGTATCTGAAAATCGCCCCAACACGCCCCTCCACGATCTTGCCTATCTGATATTTACGTTTCCGGTTTGTGCTTAAAGGTGATATGATTGCCAAGTCAATTCTTAGAGAAATAATATCCATGTTCCTAAATTTTGATCTATCTACTTTATCGTCTCTAGTTTGGTAGAATGAGTCCCCTCATTCATGAATATTATATAGAATTAATATGGATATGTATAAAAAGGAAAATTCATAATCCAAATATATCAATTTTTATATCAGAGACATATTTGAAACCCTTCTGAAAGTCATTCAATTTGCCACCCTATACGAATAGGATAGTATGCCCCTTGGCCAAGGAGATGCAGAAGTGGTTCATCAGGATTAAAAGTAGCCCAAAGGCGATCGTCATCTCGTCGCCCCCAGGCTTCTTGTTCCGCAAATGAATGGAGCAGCACTCTAACGGTAATCACAGTGCGCCTACCACTTTGTTGCAAGAACTGGGGCGGCACCATTCAAATTGCACCATTCAAGCCTACAGCCGCAACTCGCAGCTTGGACAGGTTCGTTCGACTTGGTGTCTCCGAATTCAAAGTGAGATTCACAAAGAGTTCTTGATCGACATGGAATGACACAGCTGTGAAGCAGGGCTCCCTCCCAGTTCGAAGGTTCCGCTGGGCCTGTATGCTGCAAGACCTAGCATTATTGTGGTCGGTCGACCGTTTGTCGCGCACGGAACCTGCTGCACAGTGCTTGAATGGAAGAAAGTGCTACGGGTTGACACGGATAAACTAACGTCAGTCCACAGAGATTTCAAGCATCATTCTAGAGCTCTGGCAGTTTGCGTTCGGTATCCTGACTACAAGTCGGCTGACAATCCGTCATCCCCTGGCCAGCACCCTGCGCGGGTGTTTCTTTGAGGAGCTAGGTGAGCTGCAACACCCACAGCATACAGTGCAGCATACAGTGCAGCATACATGCTGCATGCTGAGGCATTGGGATATGTAAAAAAATCTCAGTGCGTCCGCTCCGAACGGCCTAGCGAGGTCGTCACATCTCACATCACACCATGGCTGAAGCGGAAATGGCACCTTGCACCCTGGCCAACAAATGGATCCGCGGCATCTCCTGCACGAAGCATGAAGCATATGCATGAATCAGCTGTGCCGGAATGCCTAGGCATGGAACTCCTTGCACCTTTAAGGCAAAGCGGGGGGTCTTCAAATAAGCCTCTCACTTCGTACAGCACTTGCAGTTGGCAATTGCTAGTGTCACCAGTCCTGTCTGAACTTGCGCGCAGAGTCCAGAAACTGATGCTTATGATAATGGGTTCAACGAACCACTCAAAAAAACACGGTGGCTATAGGTTCTTGAGCCGCATGTCTTTTGCAATATGTTCGTTCTGGAAAACCCAAAGTTGTTTTCATCTTGCTTCCAACATGCACTTATTGTGTGGTGCACGGGAAGAAAGCAAAAACCATCGATCATTAGTAAAATCAGGGCCCATTGGGGCAATCAATCTGTCGCAACTGTCGAAGTACATTGGGCAACTACAAGGGAAGCTATGCAAACCTTCTGGAAACTCCAGACATACATACTCCGGGATTCTCTGTGGGTGATGGTGGGTACTCCACTCTTCGCACTCTGAGGACACTCTGCAGGATTCTGTGGGCGTGCGTGGAAATACGGTACAGATCCTAAACTGGCGGGGAGAGGGGTGCTTCTTTGGGACCAGACAATCCCACCCGCTTGCACCTCACTTGAGGAAAAAGCCATAGGAGTGCAAGCCGATTCCCATCAGATTGACCTAGGCGGCTCAGCTAGCTTACGCTTAGGCAGCAATACGGACAAACCTGAATCTGCAGAACCCACGTTGTCTTAGCTATTGGCGCCAATGTAGCACACCCAGACAACCTTGGCCGGTTTCACAGCTCTGGCCATGCAGCACAGGCCCATCATAGCGCAAACTCTAAACATCTCTAAACCAATCGCACTCAGATCATGACGAGGAATCCAAAAGCACCAATCTTGGCACTTTCGCGCGTGTCCCAACCAAGCTGAAGCCTGGCCGACATAGCCGACTGTCGCAACGCATGTCTCGGCTCACGCTCGCTCGCAAGTTGTGGAGAAGTACGCTTTGCAAAGTCTTCCATACAACCTCGTAAGATCTCGTAAGATCATGGGCCATTTTGCACGAAAAGCTTGACAGTACTCTTTGCCTTTGCTCGTGTGCCTTGCCGTTCCCCTATTATAGACTGTTTCCGTACGCGGCCAGCGGCCGGCGGCCAGCGGCTACCACCACCACACGTGTAGGGTTTTCTAGGGTTCAGGCTAGACATGGCTAAACTTCAGGCGCCGAAGGCGCTTGCCTAAACCGACCTCACGTTTACATCACACAAGCCTCTGTAGGACTCGCAGCGCTTGTGTAGGGACCACAAACAGCATGCCACAGACAAGTTGGGCCGGATGTAGATGTTCGCTTCTTTGGCCATGGCAAGCGTAATCATGGGGATTCAGGACGAGTATGACGTAGCGGATACCGATTCTCATGTGGGCTGGCTATGGCGTGATCTTGGGGATTTGCGATTTCGGGTGTGATTTGCAGTGTGCCCGGGGCCTTTGTTTACGTTTGCTTCCCGCGTCTCTCGAGCTAACAGCTTCCTCCCCCGTATTTCTTTTCTGCGTTCGGGGCCTGAATGCTATTTTTTTGTGTGCGTGCTCCAATCACAGCAAATTGCAGCAATGCCAAGCATTCATACTGAAGTTGCTGTACAGCAGGTGCTTGACAGCTTCAAGCGCTGTAACATGAAGGTATGTTGGGTTTCTTTCTCCAGGTGCCGTAACTGTACCTCACAGAGCTTTAGGCAGTCAGGATATTCTTTGATTTGTAGTACAAGCCTACTACTGGACTCGACGTTTCCAGGAGCCGGTTGCATTTTCATTGATTTGTAGTACAAGCCTAGTACTGGAATCGACGCTACCGGGAGCCGCGTGGATTTTCATTGATTCATAGCGCAAGCATGCGGCATTGGGGGGCCGGGGAGGCGTCCCTTTAATCGCATGCTGCCACATGCAGAGGAATCGGTCGGGTATCGGCCACCCACACCTGCCGACTCAAGTCAGCATGCCAAGCATGTTTCACGAGGTATCGGTCACCCACCCGACACATGCAAGCTTGTCAAGAATGCCCCGTGACGCACGCAAGCCTGCCACACAAGAATTTTGATGCATGCATATCGCACCCACCGGGGCAATCAATGTTGATACCGAAAAAACTTACAGTAATAGTAATATTGCACCCCCCCCCCCCACACGGAATCAAAACCTCGCAGCTTCCCAGACCTTGGACGGCCCTCGTTGCCAAAGGCAAAACTACAGCCCAGCAATCCGAGCACTTCTTGCGCCTTGTGTGCAGGTAGGCAGCATAAACCAGCCACGTGATGAGCGCCCAGGTCTCCTAGGGCAAAGTTTAATCACATTGGACAAAGTTCTCCGCCGCACCTGACCATATGCGACTGTCGTGATGCCCCGCGACTCCTTCGGATCCCAGCTCCAGTAGTTGCCCCATGCTTCGTTTGCCCAAACTCCGCCAGATACAATTCCGACCGTCCTCGGAGACAGGAAGCATCAGGAAACATCAGTTTCAATTTCGTCTCAATCACTTTTTCGTGCTGCTCTCGGTCATTCTCACAGATCTCAGACTGCAACAGAAAGCCGAAGCCCAGCAAAAGCGACCGGTAAGCCAGGTCATCCAAAGTGATGGCGAGCTGGTCGTCCTGACGTCAGTCATCGTCCGCGTCACTCACTGCGAGAGTTTGCGAGACCTTGCAAAGTACTGCAACACTGGTTCCTCTGAAAGGACAGCCGTGCCCGAAGAGGATGTGAACTCAACTGTGACCTCTGTTGTCAAGTTGGGTGCAACAAACAAATGACTGCTGTTCCATCGCTCGATGATTGAAAGCCCTGCTGTCGGGAGCATCTGATAAGGCAGCGACGCCACCACTTTCGGCAACGCTGGCAGCAGTGCTTGCCACAGCGACCTGACGCAACAAACATGTACCAATCTGGCTTGTGATGTGGTATGATGGATGCTCTGTCATGGGCCTGCGCCCTGTCTTCCTGCGCAATCGGGCTGGCTGTGTTGCCAGCATCCAGGCCCGTTGTGCCGGTCATGGCGACAGCAGGTGACTGGCAAGCAGGAGCTTCCAAGAGAGCACTGCAACCTGTTCTAGAGAGCAGACGACCAACCGGCAGACCAAATTTTGCAGGAGCCAAACAACTTGGCTTAGGTTGCTTAGGAAATAGATCCACGATATTCCAGTCTCCTTCCAGCCTGTCTCATTACACGTGAGGTTAGTACACGCGAGGACATACCGGCAAGTGGGTGACTTCAACAGCCGAAGCGACACCGAAACACGAAGAGCCATGTAAGATTTCTGTGGACGCGCTTGAAATGGAAGCCGACACATATTAAATGAATGTATATATATATATATATGTACCAATACAGTGTTGAAATAATAGTCAAAGACGCTTCAGCGCCTTCGGGCAGACAAAAGGATGTCACCAGAGGTAGATATAGGATGAATCATGCATCTCTCAAGTGCCTCGCCCAGGTTTGCCTTTTGCTCATCTGGTTGTGGCTTAACTAATAGATACTAATAGTGGTCCTTCAGAACAGCAAGACTGCGATAGTGTGGAAAATCAGAAACCCAGCCTGCCCAGCAGTGGCAACAGCTGGCTGCGGCCTTCACGTATCAGTCATCCCAAGTGTCAAGGCAGCCACGGCAGCTACGGTTCGCGCAGCATGCGCGTTATCACTTTCCTACTGCCTCACTTGCTGCTCAAGTTCAACCTGAGCTGGAGGACTGCAAGCCATTCGCGATACCTTCCAGCACAGGCTGCGCCGCCTGAGCGCAGGTGCTGTTGACTTCAGTGCCACAAGTATGGCCTGATCTTGGCCATGGCGTTCCTGAATCGAAACTTTCGGGCAGAAACAACACTGCATTGCCGGTCGCCTCCCGGAGGGCCGTGATCGGGCTGTCTTTGGGCTGGCTCAATGCGAGCACAGCCATGCCTTGGGACTCGAAGCTGCACTAGTAGTTCGACTGCTGTCATTGTCAGCTGCTTCGACTTACGGCGTGGTTATTCCCACCCGACCTGTACCAAGCCGAAAGGGTGCTGGCATTGAAGTTTACATGTGTTTACATGCAGTGCCAGTTGTCTTGAGCCCTGAGGATGGGCTCGGACGAGCAAAAGGCCCTGGCAGAGGATGGAACCAAACATCAGCGTCGCGTAGGAGCACATCACAACCTGTTGGCCGTAGCACAAGTACAAGCAAGGTGACCGAAACACAGAAAAACCGACATCGGGATGCGGGCGGAAACGTGCATCACCAGCCAGTTCGACCTGGATATTCAGGCAATGAGCTCTACACTTATTGACTTCCACACATGGTGAAAAGCTCAAAACAGCTGACGATCTATTTTTAGGCGTTGGGCTGAAGAGCAGGAACCAGCGCAGAGGCCTTCTGCAATGCCTGCCATGCGCACGCAAAGCAGATGAATGAAAGCCGGGGTTAACGTAACGCGAGAGCCTCAAAGTTCCCCACTGTGGGCGGAGGGGGCCGTACTCCATAATGAGAGGGTTTTTTGACCGTGGACCTACTAGGTTTGCACTGTTTGGGGTTGCACGTATGGGGTTCAGGGGGCAACTATGTGGAAGCTTGCGGAGGACGCTATGCATCCGTGCCTTCGGCAAGGAGAACTGGGCAAAGGCGACAATGCCGAGAGCCACGGGGGATGCCCAAACAGCCTTACATGAAAACAACAGGTGCGATTTTTGACATGGAGTGTTCCCTCCATCGCTCGTCATCTTGACCGACACCACAAACGAGCTGTTTACCAACTAAATCAGAAAACAAGTTCGAAACAACGGTGCGTTACTCATGCTACAGATATTGTGTAGAACAGCTCAGAACTTCAAAAACTGGTGGAAACCTTGATCACAAGAGGCAGAGGAGATCGCCTCGGCCATGGACGTCAAGCAACCCCAGTGGTAGGAAGAGAACCAGGCCGAGGCGGTCAACGCGCGGCTCCAGGGTTTGGGGAAGAACAACCCCACCTCCTTTATCCGGTTACCCCCCCCTTCTCTGGCAGGCCCGACAGCGGGGCACCAGTTGTCCACCTCTTTTTGTTGATCCGGTACCCTGGTAGGGGTTGACTTAGACGCCCATGTCCTCTGCCGTTTACAAGACCCCTCGGTTCGCGCGAAGAGCTCGAATGGTTCTATCCAAGCTTGGTGGAGGAAACAGCTTAATCTCGCCTCAAAAACCTTGAGCAGTTCAGTTTCAGGTACGAGATACGATTTGCACAGGAGACAACGACATCTTCAGTCCGGTCAGTTACATCAACATACACCGGGCAAAACAGGACAACGTATTCTAGCACTCCACAGACGCGTATGGAGCCCTTACGAACTGCCTGTGACGGAACATTCAAAATTTCATGGGGGCTCCCTGTGGACGTTCTTTGGAATTGTATGGAATATTGATGGACCCGATGGACCTCTATTCTATGGTTCTATGGACCTGGGGCCCCCTTTATTGACCCTTCATAGCTTGTATATTCTATGGACCCTACCTGCTACAGGACAATGTTTAGGGAATGAACCCTCATGCTCCCTATACATCCCGGTGGACCGTTGATGGACCCGCGTGTTTTGTGATTCTGAAATTCTAGCCTTCCCTGGTTTCTGAAGTCGCATTCCTGTTTTTCATGTTCGGAAGTCATCGTGTGTTTTCTGAGATACTCTTCGCTCCAGGCCAAGCTGCAGCAATGTCGGTGGTGACCTGCTTGGCCTGCCAAAGATAGGCGGCGGGACATTGACCGGAAAGCTTACAACAGAAAACGTATGACTGTGAGCCTGCGAGGACTTGGAGTTGGATTGCAAGTCGAAAGCCTTGAGCTCCTCACTCTCGGTCGTCTGGCTGACCTAAGTATTTATTTAGACAATAGCAAGCCCTTCCAGATAGAGGCCAGTGTGGGCGAGCTGAATCACACCAGGTGCACTTGAGGACTTGGTCGGAGGCGGTGAAGTACAGTGTCACTGCAGTAACACCCCACCTTGCTGCGAATTGTCTTGAGTCGATGGCAAGCATTCTCAAAGTCGCAACATCTTTCTCCGAGGAACGCCAAAAAACTGAGCGACTCATACATGTTTGACAGGGGGAAGTGGCCTCAGGGCTGCAGGGTTCCGGTTGAACTCAAACAACACCTGACCAAACCTCTCAGGCGGCGGCCGCTTTCCAGCCAGCGGTTGGACAGCAGCACCTGGACAACTCCAACATGGACTTGCACTCCGATGCGGGCAGAGCCAGCTCTAACAATCTAAGCCAAGTGCAACAAGGGCAAGGTTTGCAAATGCCATGGCCTGCAGATTTACATGCATGGAATGACTCTTACTCGAGCGCTCGGCGACCGATTCTAGAATGCGCCACACAAACACATTCACATGTCATCGCCGATTGCTGACCAAGGTCGGTTCATAGAATGATGGAGCTTTGCCCTCTGTTGACGCCTGCACAAGAAGGCGGCAAATTGACAAGATGGAATTCAAAATGAAGCTGCAAACAGCTCATGTGATCATTGACGGCCTGGCCACTACCCAGGGTGCCGCGCCACCATGCCAAAAGCGTGCTCACCTGCAGGGATGTATGTAAAACAGCGCACGCTGCGTCATCCAACTGAACCCATGACTCTGAATCTGAGGCAGCTGCAAGTAGTCCTCCGAATGCCGCCCTCTCGGCCCAGCCCTGCAGCTCTCCTTCCTGCATGACCTGGCATCATTTCCCAGTACAGTAATTACCCTTCCTAACACAGACGTTGTCTTGGGGAACATGGTGCTGCCACTTGGGGGAAGGGTTTGCAGCCACCCTTTGCTTTCATGCCGGTCTTACGCTGACCGGACTGTGCAGCTGCATTGTCACTGTATGGGGTCAGGAGTCGGCACGGATATGCACGGGCGAATCTCTGCTGGGAGATGGGGGACATCCACTGAGGCGCCGGGCTCCTGGGGCTCCGTGTGCCAGCGGATCATCCACTGCATGGGCCGGTGCCGTCAAGGCCTCAGGCAGAGGCACATCAAGGGCTGTTGAAAGTTGGGCTGTTGCGGTCTGTTGCTGTAAGCTCTGAGAGCAAGCATCAGCCAGAGACTCGGGCAAACAGCGCTCCAGCACCCAAAGCTTCAGGGAGGTGCGACACCTCGGGGGCGCGGCGCTTTCTCAGGTCGAGGCTCTAGTGGCTTCACCCTGTCTCAGCAACTATGCACCCAACAGTGGACTGCTCAGGCGCTTTCTTGCCTGTAGCAGATGCAATTCTCTCAATGGCGTGAAGCAGCGTGCTGGGTCTGGGTGTGGTGCCTTGAGGTGGCGGAACGAAGGCTGGGGAGGACAGGTAGCCCACCAGAGCTAGCACCTGGTCAATGCAGATTTGTGAGAGCTGCCTACGTGGCTTCCCGAGCACTTGGTTGGGGTCCAAGCCAGTATGGTTGGCAGCAAAATCTGGCGCCTTTGTCTAGCCTCAGCGTGACAACCCTCAAAATTGTGATCTCGGGAAGGCTTCATGGAAGAATATGTGACCGGCCATGCCGCCAAACTCCTCGAGGCCTCATACTTCAGAGATGTCCGAGGCTGAAAAGCACGCAGGTCGGCACTGAATCCGCACAGATGTCCCAACCGTAACCGTTATATGAGACTTCGTGACAGCCAGCCTTGTCTACCACCGGGCGCGCTGAAGTGGCTACGGGGCGTAGAGGACTTTGAAGATTGCAGAAGCGCGAGCAGCAAGCGACTCTTAAAATCATGGCTGGATGTCTGGGAAGCTGGAAACGTGAGTTCAAATGGTGAGAGCAGTTCTCCGACTTTTTTACGATCTTTGTCTGACTTCGACTTTGCAGGCACCTGGCCCGACACCAATGCCCACTGCGTGTTGCAATGGCATGGCGCTCATCACATAAGTCACGTTCATCGTCTATGCACACAGCAAACGTGTGAATGCATTATCACGCTCGGTCGGGCTGCATTGACAGCCGCCAAAATTCCGTTAAAAGTGTTTGCGCATCCTCTGCCGAGGAGCATATCTATATTCTACGCCCCTGACAGCGTACTGTCAAGACTTGGAAGGAGGAGTGGTTCGCACCTTTCCTGCCCCGTATCATACTTTTATGAGTGTTGTCAAACCTTGGGTCCTCGCAACAGCTGCATCCCCGTTTTATCCTGCCATTCTTCCCCGAAACTGAATTGACTGAAGTGGCCTCTGAATCATCCAGCGTTGCAGTGAACAAGTACAACATCAGACTGACCCTGCGGCTCTGTCCAGGATCACACACCGAAAGCCTCATCATCACTGTGACAGCGCGTTGGCTGTTGCCACTCTTGTGCAAAACTTCTGCGAGATGCCTCAGCCAGCGAGCAGGCGACGTAGCAGTAGCATATGCGCGTGATCAAGGCACTAGTCTTGTCGGCCGCATCGCACTCCACGTTGACGTGACCGTTCTAGCATGCTCCGGAAGATTTCCAACTCACAAGCCCTAGCAAGCAAAATAACCCAAGGCCTATCCAGACAAATTGGTGTGGCCTTTTATTTTCGCTTGGTTCTGGGATGCTCTGCCGTGAGAGATCGGCAGCCGGGCTACGCGGTCCCTGGCAGTCGGTGGAATAGTCCCCAAGCGATGCGAGCATGATGTCCAACTGGGCCACGGAAACGGCATCCTTGCCAGCCTAGCAGGGCCAGAATAAGACAGCTGGCTTTGGGGGGGGGGGGGGGGGGGGGGGGTGAAAGAAACCCAAGGTCAGCCTTGTTTGTTGTGGAAACACCCATATGCCACATACACCTTACTTCTGAACAAAACCGGGAAAAACCTTGTGCTGCATACTACCAAACTGCTGAAACTTGGACTGGGCGAGTAGGAGAAGTTTCTGAAGTAGACAAGAAGAGCTAGAAGAACACTTGCAGAGGGTACATGGGAGTGTTGTACTGTCCTGCACTAACAAAGCAGGCATCTGCAAACAACCACAAAGTTTTTCCTAGCAGACCTCTTACTGCGTCCTTGCCTTGTTCAACAGGGCAAAGACTTCGTCAGCAGGACCATGAAATCCAAGCTTCTCCTCAATCGCGTTAAAAAGCATGCAAGAACAAGCGACACCTTTTACCTGTTTCGTGCAAGTGCCGTCCTTGATGGCCTTCGACCACTGCGGCAAAGTGAGGCTTTCCTCTCCGTCGGAAATGTGGGACCAAATCGTCTCCTGTGAGAAGCATCTTGTTTCACCTATATTTAACCCAACCAACTTACGTATTTGAAGATTTGAAGGCTCTGGCCATAACACTTCGGCGCCTGAGCAGCCCTCTGCCCGAATGGTGCTTTGTTACAGTACAAGTAGGACTTTGGAGCGCGATTGGGGTCTGCCTCCGCCCCGCATCGCATATTGCAACCCTAAAAACAACCAATCGATGGGAGTCGTATGCTGGGCACACGCTCGACATTCTTGGAGCCTAGCGCGAAATCGCAACATGCCAACTGGAGGAGGATTTCAAGGTGTGACAGCCCCGCAACGTTCAAAGCTTGATTTGGCAAGTTGATTCATCCTTGACCTGTCCGGTGACGGGCCACAGAGTTCGTGTAGCAGCTGTAGTACCATCACAGTGGGGCTCAGGGGCTGTACCCGAAGCATTAACTCTTTTCAAAGGAGCTGCGTTGCCAAACCTAGCACGCATTGCTCCGAAGTGAGCTGAATGTCGCTGCCAAGATTCGATCAGGTTGGTGGAGTAATCGAACTTCCGAGCAGCAAAGCGCACCAAATCTTGCATCTGCTGCTGGGCCTCGTGCCATAGCTCATCCAGAATGCACCATTCTCGTCGCGACAAGAACTTCTGCCGTCCAGGAATGAAAAATTCGAAAATGTCGTCCGCCCGACGTACTGCTTCCTCATCATCCTCCGCAGGCAGAAAGCCACAGGCCAACAGAGCTTGAAGGAGGTCCTGCCGTGTGAGTGCTGTCTTGTTCACCTGGCTTGCAAGGAAGTCAAAGCCGAGGTCGCAGTTGCCAGGGTTCGCGGTTCTTGTGGATGATGCCCGCAGTACATGGTGTAACAGCTCGAGGACATCTGCCGGTGCTTCCGCGGCACTGGTGCACCAAGTCCTTGCATACATGGTCGGGCACTTGGCTAGAGACCCCAGGCAACTCTTTTCCTGAGCCCTCTCAATCCCACATGGCATCCTCCGCAGCCCCCTCTGCTTTTTAAGGCTCAACCGACCTTGAAACCTGAAACCCCAACCCTCCGCCACCCCGGACCCTCAATAAAGCAGCAAGTGTCATGGACTGCTTGGAAATAGTCCCAAGCTTCCACCCACCAAATTGCCTCAGTTTGGGCGAGTGCTGCAACCGTGGCTCAAATATTTTGCGCCTTTTGCCAGTCTGGCTGCATCTGCAATTGCTTTCGGAAGGGGACACTGCGCTCTTCGGGAATGCACTTGTACCTCGTCAATGAAATCACAATGCGTGCGCGTGTGGGTGAAAGATGAGCTCTGTCAGGTATGCGGTACAGTATACACTACGCATGCAAGAATGAGTCTTAACACAACTGATATACATCCAGGGCACGTCAAACTGACTGCACCCCGGCTTGGCACCTTCTCTATACTTTCCCAGGACTTTGGCAGGCCCTTTGAGAGCGCGATAAGCCTCCCGCGAGGCTGTGAAAGAAAGAAGCCTGCCTCCACAAAACGAGCAACATATATAGCAAACATACAGCCGTCCTGCCCGTCTTGTCGCAAAGCACCACGTCCTTCATGTTGGATCGCTCTTTGCCTGAACATGTTCCGAGCGCCAAGCAGTGAGAGCGTTAAGCAGGGGAAGAAACGGTAAAACACAAGTCGAGTGTTTCTGATGCTCTTGAACATTCTTGAACCGTCAGCAAAGAGGCTTCGCAGCAAAGCCAGGCAATGGGCCAGCAGACGCTGTTCTCGCTGGTCCAAGGAAAGCTCTATGAAGCCCTCGGGCTGAAGGAAAAGGAAGGTCACCTGAGCTCTTGTCGCATAAATGCAGCATGTTGCGTTTTCCTGAGCCGATAATCATATTGAGCGCCGCTGGGGGGCCACGTAGCCCAAGCACTTCTGCAGCTGCTGGTTTGCAGCAGGATCGAAGAGAACCCGAAAGGTTTTCGCATTCGAAATATCCACCACCTCGGTCACAACCACAGAACGCGGAGTGCACCCCAGGCCAAACGAATTTCAAGTGCCTGGAAGTAGAGCAGGATAGTCAGTTGAAGCTTGGCATCGATGGTCTTGCACATACCTTGATTCTACGGCATGAAGCCCCAACCGGATTCACCACGTGTTGATGTAGCAAAGCTGCACAGGAGTTCTCGCAGCTGCGAGCTGGTCATGAAGAGGCGGTGTCCGCATCGTCTTAGCGCCAGAAACTTTGCCAGCGGTGCCTCGCAGTCTTTGCGGAGCTTGTGCTTTGAACATTGCACTCAGGTACACCTAAGGTACACCGACCGTCTGTGGCAGGTCTGGACGTGGGCGCGCCAATGAGAAAACCTGGGACAATCATGCATGAAGCGAATTAGTGCGCCCGGCCTCGTCGAAGCTCGCAAGCAACCTCGGGCAAACAAATCTAGACTCTAGACCATCTCGCCGATCTACACTCCCTGCAATATCCCAAGCAGTTTCCAGAAGTTGAATGACTTTACTGCAAGCCTAGTGGCTGAAGCATGCGTGCAAAGTTGGGAAGGTCGATCGGAGCTTGTTTGGGGTCTGGTCTCCGTGCAGACACGTAGTCAAAGTCGAGCGTGCCTTCAGGAGGCGGCAACCACCTGAAGCAACGCACTCCTATTATCTCCTATTCCTCCCATGTGAGCGTAACACCTCGCCTAACCAACACACTTCAGAACAATTCACCAGATCAGACAGGCAAGTGATCAACGCGCACCTTCAGACCTCCCCCAAGTTTGCTTTGCTTTGCATGAATGCCAAGTCAGAGCAGAGCGGGCCTATCTCAATGGGCAAAGATAAACTGGGCACATCCAAGTGCCATGCGACCTCGTCATGTCCATCTTCCATGGCCCACCCTGGTGGGTGATGTTTCGCCAGTGCGAGCCATCCCCCAGTTCCTGAATACACAAAGTGACTCCGGCTACGAGCTGTCCGTTACGCATGGCAATACACTGAATCTAACCATATCTAACCCAAGATGCTGAGAGGTCCATCCGCTGCGCGCGCTTGTCGAGCTCGACCTCCCATGCATTGAGGACAAAGAGATGCTGCCCAACTGCCCGATCCGCCGCGGACAACCTGGGTCTTGGGCCACTTGCGGCGCGCACGTGCGTGTGTGGAGACGTCTAGCTGAAGACTGCCCAGAATCTTGTCTTAAGCTGGGAGTCCGACATGTCCAGCTGGTAGTGGCCATTTGGACAATCGTAATTGACACTCATGAATGTACGGAGGTACTTGCACCTTGACACATACTCCTCCATGGTGGTTGTCTGTAGCATGGAAAGGACTTGGACAGGTCTGTCTTGAGGTAGACTGCACGCGCACAGGTACTCCGTCTGGCTTACCTTAGTGTTAAGTCCGAATTTCCAATGCTGATTATCTGCTTTCAATTTTCCCACCCTCGCCAGCTGACATGTAGCAGTTGCTGAGTCGGATTTGGTCGGACCTAGTCGGAAATGTCTTCTGTTGTCTTCACTGCAAGCGCAATTTTCCGCCCGGACTATACAATGACGACGGCTAGATCACGCGACAATTCGACAGACGCTGAGGTTTCAGAACGCGATCGAGGTCTTTGTGGAACAGGAAGAGCCAGACACGAGATGCTTCGAGCCCTTTGGGAAACCCAACTGTCGGCTGATGATTTACAAGGTTCCGAGTCAAGGTGGCAGGCCACTGGCCTTCCAGCAACAATATGTTAACGGCCCTGAGAAGTGCAAGGCACAAATCAAAGCCCATGCCCTTGCCAGTGGAACCCCTCGACAGTATAGACGAAACGTGCACAAGTTGCACATGGGAGTAAGGGGGTTCTTGTGGTTGTAGTTCAAGAATCGCATGAGAACTGTGCTCTCTCCATATTGATCTTGGCTGCAGCGCTGCAGCAGACCAGAGCGCGGATTTGTTCCGCAGAAAGGAGAAAGTCTTTGCACAAGCATTCCAACATGGTCTCTTGCTCCTGACCGACAATCTGCTTACGCATAATCTTGAATATACGTACGTCCAGCTGCGTGGCTGCTCATCAACATCTGTGGCTGCATAGTCTCTGTCTACTGGACAGGGTGCAGACACGCATGCTGAGACATGTCCTTGGCACTGAACCGGTTCATCCTCCAAAGTGCTATCAGCGGTACCACCTGTCACATTGCACATCTCACACAGCTAGTCTGCCGTTTCGCTACAAACGCCGGCAAAAATGACACTCCAGCCGCCAATCATCGAGTTCAACTAAATTTGGACTGTGAGCCTTGTGCACAGCGGGCTTGACTCGTCGGTTGCGGGTGTGCTGTGCCAGATAGCCCTCGAAGCTTGCAAAGCGCCCTCCGTCCAAGGACTCATTGCCTGCAGTGCACCCAACATCGCACAAGGGTGGAAGAGGCCAGACAATAAAAATCCAGTGTTTTGACTTTTTGTTGTCCTCATCCTTGTCTGAACCTTTAAGCATAGAGACACCCCCGCCCGATGCGCACCCAGCCTATGCAATCCACTTGAAAGTGAACAGTGAGGTCTCCTCCAGTGGCGATATTCCAGGTCCCTCGATTTTTGTGAGGATGCTGGTACCCCGAGGAGCTCTTGATCTGGCTGAAGGAGACGGACGGTCTGACCCTGAATCGCTCACTGGTCTTGTACAGGCGTCGTAACACGGCACGATGGTAAGGCCGTGCTAGGTCGAGCTCATAGCGCCCCGATGGATTTTGAGGACAAAAAATCTGCTTCGAGTCCTGGAAGTATTGAGTCATCACAGGGAAACAAGGAAGCTTGCCCCAACACCCAACATGCGACTAGCGCTCGCGAGAGATGACCTAAACATTGCGGGTCACCTTGCGGAAGGGTGTCCTTGTCCAAACTGAAGGATGCACTTTGATAGGCGCAGCCCGCACAGTCGAACCATTCCAAGCCCGATGTTTTCTGGGCAAGGAGCCGAAAAAGGCAGCGCTGCCCAAGCACTCCCAGGGGATTGTCGGCCTCAGTCTCAGAGTCTCGGGCACCCTAACATCGCTAACACCTACCCATCTGCCATTTGTTCATGTCAAGTCAAGAAATCTAAACAAAGGAGAATGAGCTCCGGACGATCACGAGATGCTTCAGGCACCGCAAGGTGTCGCAGGCGTCTTCAATGACAAAAGCCCCACGAAAGTCTATGTGATTGAAAGTGACGTCCAGGACCGACCTCAAATTTGTCGAACCGGAAAATCGACCGACCCTGTTCACCCACAGCCAGGCTAGACACAATGGCGAAAAACCCCAGAGTTCCGGACAATTTATGAGCATTTGGAAGCTGTTCTAGAAAATGCTCGATTGGAAGGTCCTCACGGAAAGGTGTGCCGTCACTTGTGTCTGTTCTATGGAGGAAGCCAAGCTGAAAGATTGCCAGCAACAGCATCAAGGCGTGAAGACGTGGGGTCCCTGGTCGAACGTGATGAGCTTGAGCATCCCGCGATACTCAGCGAGCGAAGCTTGACGGCGGTGTTCAGGCAGCGGCCCAACTGCGCAAACGACGCGCTATCGAAGGTGTTCCTCACTTCAGCAAGACTACACCACACCTCACGAGATAGGTCTTAGACCTGCCACCCCCATCCCAGTGGCCGCCGTGCACGTAGTGCCCAAACTTCGGGGCAAACAGCTGCTAGTTACTGCTAGTTGCCTCCAGGGCTCCAGGCCAGATCAACCTCCTCGCATGAAGCTGTGGGCATAGTCACAGCATTCAAAGGGTCGAGTAACAGTTGTTGTAGCGCCAGTACATGTCTAGATGTCTAGATATCCTAGGTTTGGAAAAGCGCTGTTTTTGCCCGAGACCCTGCGAATCACTGCGCATCCCTGCGACGCGCCTCGAGCAGGTAGCCTTGAAAAAGGCAGCTGAGGCTGCTCTTCGCACTTCGAACTCCGAGCCGCCCGATTCCCAGACTCGCCAGACCAACTTTCCTCAGGGTCGGGTGCTGTCCTCGGCTTTCAGAGCGCATCCTTACCTCCCATGTGTATATGCATATGTATCTATATGTTTGTTGGGGGGCTAGTTCTTCCCGCGACCGGAATTCGTCCCGGCTTCCAGCCGGAGAGGCGTCTAGAACAAGCAAACAAGGATACGCTGATTTTAGTGACGCGCCCTGCCCCCCCCCCCCTCTCCCCCCCCTGTCGGCGGCTCCTACTGAAACAGCGCCCAAAAATGCAAGCAACACCCTCCTCCTTGGACCACCTTGGACCCCCCCCGTCCAGAACACCCCCTCCTGGGAGCTTTCCCAAGCGCCCCCCTAGACCTTCCAACCTTCCGAAACCCCCTTCGTTCCTGAAACCCTGCAACCCCCCTCATGGGACCCTCCCTGACACATCCCCTATACCTTATGAGCCTGTGAGGCCTGCGAAAGGGTTTTCGAATTTCTTGGGATGCGGGCTGGGCCCGGCTGCCGAGGCGGCGCAAGCGTTTACAACTACCATGTTCCCATATGAGCACCAGCGGCCTCAACTGATCATATTTGTGTTTGATCAGAAACTAAAGCTAGGAAACATGATTAATAGTAAAAGTTTTGCCCTTGAGTGCCGAAGCTCATTTGATGTATTGGCTGCCCTTCATCATGTTGCAATATAACCACCCCTTTAAGAATATGCACAATTTGGGAATACAGTGGAAATGGTTCAAGTGCTTGCATGCTCATCGCGGCGGGGACTTCTACATACAGGGACGATTTTGAGCATACCCGCTACCGACATCTCGACAAGTGCATGTGAATGCGCATCATCATTTAACCAGTCCTGGCAGAACTATTGGATTTGGATATTCGATCTCCTCCCCCTGGATGATTAACTCCCAGCAGAGTGGATCCAAGCTCCTCCCCGGATTGAAGATGGAAGATTCCTGGAAAAGTTTCTCGGGAACCTTCAATCCGGGGAGATTGGGCCTAATCTCCGGAGATTGTACCCCCCCCCCCCCAGCGTGGAGATGAAAGATTCAAAAGTCTTGCAAACAGGCCTCCTTCAGGAGTACTTTAACCATCAGAAAAAATGGATCTCATCTCCGCAGATTGCATCTATTGCGCCCCCGGACTCAAGATTGAAGATAGATCTCCATCGGCTGGATGAATCCACAGGAGATTGGGTCTAATCTACGCCCCCCCCCCCCAGGATTGAAGATTGAAGAGAACGTTTTGTGGGGAATCTTCAATGTTCACTGCGGAATTAAACCCCACTTACTGTTGTTTCCTTCACAGAGTTTTAACACCCTTTACCCTGAACCCCTGGCCTTTCAAGAATTAAAGTTTAAAGGGAACCCGTACAAGAGCCCCTAGATAGGTCCAGTAGATAACAGGCGATGCATGTAGGCAAGGCAAAAATCGGAAACATGTGTGTGTGTGTGTATATATACATGTGTATTTTATTTATTTATTATATTGTATTATACTATATGATAGTATAGTATATTGTATTTTACTACATTCTAGTACATTATAGCAAAACAGTTTATAACATTCTACACGACTGACTTGCTGAGGACGAGGCCGATGGCATCGAGGAGAGGGCGCGCGCAACCCATGGGCAAACCAATTCCGCTCAAGTCCAAGGACCAAAGGAGGCCCAGGCCTCAAGGAGTGCCCTTTCCCTTGCAGTTGAAGGAACTTAACAGCCTTTTTGAAAAATAGGGAGATCAGGGCAGGGGGCGTTTTGAAAAGGCATTCCCATGCTAAAGGGTGTGTTAGGATTTTCTGGGTGGATGAGCTCGGACTTTGAGGGATGCTTTTGGGTGCCTTTGTGCAGCTGAGACACCCCCCTGGTGCATAATGGACGTGAGTAAGCTGATGGAGGCTTCACCCAGTGATCGGCAGTGGCTCAAATTCAGCAAGGATAGGCATGTCCTGACAGTTTTTGATCTCGAAACAACATCGACATCCAAACAGTTTTCACAAAGGCCCAGAAACAGACTGAGGGCCCAGATAATGATTTTCCCTACTTTTCCAAGACCCATCACATACTCTAGTTTTGTGCACAACACATGTGAGCTGTGACTGTGTCTCATGCTCCATGTTTCTTGATCCCAGTGTCTTCTTCACGCCGACTTCTCGCCTGGCACGACACTGCGAACCCGTAATGATCTGCGGCATCAACTGTCTCAGAAATGTTCAAAGCCACTGGAGCTTCTTACGTCTTACGTCTTGGTCGACAAGCGGCAGGAAAGGCAGCATTCCCACGTCAGTCAACTTTGCATTGTCCGAAAGATCCACTTCCTGGAAGGTCATCAGCAAAGAGGGTGGTTATATCTAAGATTATCTAAGTCAACAAGCTTCGGCTTCTACTTCACGGCTTCGTCCTCGACAAGCTCCACCTGCCTGGTCAAGGTCAGCAGGCTCAGCAGATCCTGATACAGTGGTCACACAGCAGAGTCTGTACACAAAGACTTGCTGTTGCTTCACCAGTCATGCAATGTCTGGCCCGGTCCTGGTCTGTGAGGCTGTGGCCCGCCGCGTGGAGGTTCGGCGAGTGGCCAGTGACAAAAGGCAGCGGCCGTGGCCGCGTGCCGAGCTTGCTGCACGCATGCAAATACCTCAAGCGACGAGATCCGAGTGCAAACCATGCCTGACACCCGTACGGTCTCGACATGTTGTACACTATGGACTAATCCCTTCCCCCTAATATTAATACCCCCTAATATGAAAAAACCCTGGCCCGAAAACCCGATTCACTAGCGAAGGGGGGGGGGGCGGGTTTAGGAGGATCAGGAAGGCTGAAGCAGAAATCTTGAGCCTTAGCTCTTCAGTTCCACCCCTAACCCTGACTCTGAAAGCCCGAAACCCTGAAGGCTCAAGGGTTTAGGACTTAGGCGGTTTAGGTGTTCATGGTTTCCCCCCGCCCGTTTCACACGAACGGTACGAACCCACATGATCTTACTAAAAACCCGGCTTGTTTTTATACAGGGGGGACATTAATATCAGGGGAAGGATCCTAGTACGTTATCAAGACTAGCTCTGCCTTGTCTTGTGGCAAGGCTCGGTGGGTGTTTTGCGTTGTTCTTGCGAATTAGCCGGAAGTGCACGCATTGTTTGTGCGTCCATGGGTGGGTGCATCGGTGTCGGTGTGTCGGTGTGTCGGCGTGTCGGCGTGTCGGCGTGTCGGTGTGTCGGCGTGTCGGCGTGTCGGTGTGTCGGCGTGTCGGTGTGTCGGTGTGTCGGTGTGTCGGTGTGTCGGTGTGTGGGTGTGTCGGTGTGTCGGTGTGTCGGTGTGTCGGTGTTTCGGTGTGTCGGTGTGTCGGTGTGTGGGTGTGTGGGTGTGTGGGTGTGTGTGTGTGTGTGTGTGTTGGGTGTGTGTGTTGGGTGTGTGTTGGGTGTGTAGTGGGTGTGTGGTGGGTGTGTGGTGGGTGTGTGGTGGGTGTGGTGGGTGTGGGGTGGGTGGGTGTGTTGGGTGGGTGTGTGTGTGTGTGTGTGTCTGGTGGGTGTGTTTTGGTGGGTGTGTTTTGGTGGGTGTGTTTTGGGTGTGTGTTTTGGGTGTGTGTTGTTTGGGTGTGTGTTGTGTGCGTGTGTGTTGGTGTGTGCGTGTGTGTTGTGTGTGTTGTGTGTGTTGTGTGTGTTGTGTGTGTGTGTGTGTGTTGTGTTGTGTGTGTGTGTGTGTGTGGTTGTGTGTGTGTGTGTGTGTCTGTGTGTGTGTGTTGTGTGTGTGTTGTGTTTGTGTGTTTGTTGTGTGTGTTGTGTGTGTTGTGTGTGTTGTGTGTGTTGTGTGTGTTGTGTGTGTTGTGTGTGTTGTGTGTGTTGTGTGTGTTGTGTGTGTTGTGTGTGTTGTGTGTGTTGTGTGTGTTGTGTGTGGTGTGTGTGTTGTGTGTGTTGTGTGGGTTGTGTGTGTTGTGTGTGTTGTGTGTGTTGTGTGTGTTGTGTGTGTTGTGTGTGTTGTGTGTGTTGTGTGTGTGT